TTATATTTCCTGTCAATTGAATAAACATTTACAGTACCAGCCAGAAATGAAGACACCTACTTATTCTTCATTAGTACGGTTTTCTGCATTTAGTCATCAAAGTATTACATAATGCAAATTGAAGTATGCAGTTCTAAGATTTTATATGCATTCTAAGTTCTAAGATTCTATAATATAGATAAGATAATTTATTGATATTTATTGTAAGATAAATGTAAATATATTGTTATTAGTTTTAAAAAAACAGTTTACATGTGTTATATATCTGAAAAATGAATAAATGTTAATGTTCTACTTGCCAAATTTCATGAAAGGTATTTATTATTCTAAGACAACTGATGAAACATCTGATGTAGTCCTCAAGTTTTTAATTATACCACACAAAAAGTTTGATTTTGTTTGTTAATCCAAGTTAGATGGGTGATATTCATTGAGATTTGGAAACTGCATGAAGATTTAGCTTCAACTGAGATTCTCTTACAATCTGCTATTAACATCTTGTAAGTTGTCTCAGTGACCTGTTGAATAGTGAACTTGCACCAACATGTTATGTGTGGGTGACCCTAGTTGAAATCTTGCTTGGATCATTTCCTGAGCCCACTTAATTTGATTGTTTCCTGTCTGTTTTTGAGTATTTCTGTCTGTAGATACCCATAGGAAAAAGTTGCTCAGTGGTTGCTTTTCCTAAACTCAGGAGACTTAGATGAGATTCTCATGTATCTCTCATTTTAGTATCAACAGCATTTCAGATGTTTCTCCTAAAATTCCTTAGGAGAAATGGAAGTAGACACAAATGAGACATGATAAATATTTTAGAAAAAAAGGTCAAAACTGAGAATGTGGTGGAAGAAACATGGATATCTCTTTATTGTCTTGCTGCAATCTCTATCAAGACTCCATTATAGGAATATTTTATTGCTCAGTGGTTGCTCTTTCTAACCTCATGAGACTTAGTTGTGATTCTCATGCATTTCTCATTTTAGTCTCAACAGTGTCTCAGATGTTTCTCCTAAAAATCCTTAGGAGAAATAAAAGTAGACACAACTGAGACATGAGAAAGTGCTGAAAGAAAGAAATCCAAAATGACAATGGGAGAGAAATGTGAGAGAAACATGGGAGATCTCTTTATTGTCTTGCTGTAATCTCTTGTAATCTCCATTATAAAAATGTTTTACTGCTCAGAGGTTGCTTTCATTTTTGTTTGATTACAATGGGGGTTTTCACCTTTAATGGTCAGGACAGTAGGAGTAGAGACAGGAAACAATTGGACAGGTGAAAATTGAACAGAAGCAGGAAAGTACCTTTAGCTGGGATTCAAACCCATGTTGTCTGAGGTGCAGTTGTGCCTTCACGTTGATGTGCTGCCCACAAGGCTATGGCTTTGACAGAGGTTACTCTACGCTCAGGATACTAAGGGGTGATTCTCTTATATGTCTCATTGAGATATCAGCTTTGTCTTAAGATGTCTTCAGTTTTATTTTAGGAGAAACATTAAACTTTTACTAATATTGTAAATACTAAAACTATCATTTAAATAGCATTAAACATTTCAGAATATCAAGGGTTACTAGTTTAAATGTTTCAATTCTTCAATGTCCAGCATTGTATATACACCACATTTTCCAAACACACTAGAAA